ATGTCTGTGGAGCATTTTCTTGATTGCTGGTTAACATAGCAGGGTCCAGCCCACTGCTGGTGGTATTATCCCTAGGAAGGTGGGCCTGAGCAATGTAAGAAAAGCACTGAGGGACATCTGGATACAAATGCTGGACTGGATAAAACTTAACATATATAACAGAATTTCTGAAATCTGATGTGGGGGGTGCCATGGGGGCAAGGAGGGGGGAGGAGGTCTAAATTTGATTAAGATGTATTATATGAAATGCACAAAACTTCAATAAAAAAATCAGAGGACAAAAAGAAAAGAAAATTATCTGAGGAAGCCTCAGGGAAGGCAAGTCAGTACATAGTGTTTCTCCATGGTCTCAGCTTCCATTCCTGCTTCCAGACACCTGCCTTGGGTTCTTGCCCTGACTACCCTTGATGATAGACTATGAGGTGTAAGATAAAATAAACCTTTCCCAACCTAACATCATTTTGGTCAGTGTTTTATCATAGCAGTGGAAGAAAGCTGATCAAAGGGGTAAAAGGACTGGGAAAAAATGTTAGAACCATCACAAGAAGAGGAAATTCCTGTGATGGAAATGCTTGATATCTTCACTATATCAGTGTCGAAATTCTGGCTGTCGTGTTGTACAGTGATTTTGCAAGATTGTCATCATTAGAAGAAAGTAGGTGAAAGGGTACGTGACATTTTTCTATATTCTTGCAACTACATATGAATCCACAGCTACCTCAAAATTAAAAGTTTGGCTTAAAAAAAAACTCAGAAAAATCTCGTTAAAATTTTAATACACATTTAAGTTCAAAACAAGAAAGAAAATTTCAGTGTATCAAAAGAGAAAAATGAAGTGAAAGCCAGGGGTGAAAGTCACAGCTGGGTGGCCCTGGGGAGATCCACAAGCAGCTCTTTGGATTTGGAATCAGGATTTAATTTCCCAGCAGGGGCTGGAATTGAGACAAGAGTTCATGACAGGGCCAAGAGTAGCGTTCCATGTAATAAGGCTATAGCTAAGAAATACTGTGAGTAGGAATTAAATAATGCTTTGTAGCCAGAAAAAAAATTTTTTTTGGTTTACTGTACTGACCCAGGTATACAGCACAAAAGCTGACTAAAGGAGGACATTGGCTGAAGCATAGTATCCCATAAAAATCACAGCCCCAAAGCTGTTTGGGATGGGAGTGTGAAATCTAATCTTTTGCACTACACTTCCTGTGTAGAAATATAAACTGAAATACAACAGATTCACTTGAAATCGGTCACTTAGTGCCCTTGTCAGCAGCAAACCCCAAACCAGCCCCACTGGGACACTCTTTTACTGAAGCTGAATTCAGAGTCACTGATTAAAGAACATACTTTTTCCATCAAACAGCTTAGAATAGAAAAAATCTACTAAGCTTTTCAATTAAAACAAGTCCACAGTTTCAAAGTTGTGAACGTTTTGCAGCATAGGAGGTCGGGGGTGAACCTGGCAGACAGGTGCTGCTGAGCAAGGGATGTGGGCTGAACTCAGCCTGCATGCAGCTTCCAGGGGGAACAGTTGGAAATAAAAGCTGTGTGAGAGGACATTAAAAGAAGAAAGTTGTCCCACAGATTCCCCTGCAGTGATATGAGGCTTAGAGTCAGCAGACCCTAAGTCTATCACCCCACAAATGTAGGTGTGGGGTCATCCCTGGATAAAAGAGGGCAAATACTCCAGCGGTCAGATTCCAGGGGTGTATTCACGTGAAGTCAGTCACAAATGCATCTAATTCCTTCTAAGGCCAATCTAGGTGGACATTGGTTAATTTTGACATATTAGCTAACGAACTTAAAGTTAGTCAAGTGGTGTGCTTACAGAAAGGCAAAACTTACTTGGTTTTTGGTTCCTTTTGGATGGTCACCCACTAATTGGTCCTAGAATTCCAGCCCCACACCCCCACACCGAGGCTAAACAGTATGCAGTTTCCGTTGGGAAGCATGAGATGAAAGTAAGGAGCAATTCAGAGCAGCATTCTTACCCTTGGGTGCTGGGAGATCAGCTACATTATAGTAATATTGGCTAGTACTGCTGATTAACACCCGTTCTCATGAGCAGTGTTGGTAACACCTGTTGACATTAGACTCACCTGGGAAGCTTTAAAAAAGACTGATGCCTGGCTTCACCATCAGAATAAATCACAACAGCTAGGGCATGGGATGCCAGGCAATGGGTATGGATATGTTTTACTCATTTTATTAATTTCATGTTTGTGTGTGTGTGTATATGTATGTGTTATATAACCATTAAAGTTCTCAAATGATTCTAACACTGAGCCAAGGCTCGGAACAACTACTGAAGTCCAGGCTTCTCAAGTTCCCATGAGCACAAGTCCAGGACAGCAGTTTAATAATGAATTTCAAATAGGCAGATCTTTAGTGTATTAGTTACTCTACCTGTTGCTTTGACAAAATACCTGACAAGAGCAATCTAAGGAAGGAAGAGTTTATTTTAGCTTATAGTTCCAGGAGAAGTCCATCAGGGCAAAAAAGGTTATGATGGTAGGAACTTGAGATTGCTTGTCATATTACATCCACAGGCAGGAAGCAGAGAGTAATGAACCTTAATGCCCAGTTTTCTTTCTCCTTTTTATTCAGCCTAGAACCCCAATCAGTGCAACTATCACCCACAGTGGGTCTTCCTACTTCTGTTAACATAATCTAGATAATTACTGCCAGGCACAAAAGCTTGTCTCCTAGGTGATTCTAGATCTTGTCATCACATAGCAACAGAAAGAAATCAAGTGGTTCTCTAGGACTAGAGTGATGGAACATATTAGGACCCTACCGGAAGTCCCTCAGAAAAATTTAAATGGTTATACAATGTTCTGCCTGAGCTGTCTCATGGTATTCCATCAAAGCCAAACTATACAAGAAAGTCCTTAATTATGCAGAATAGAAATTTTCAGCAAAGTGGCAGTTATGATGGAAAGGTTTAGAACAAGTGCTTCCTGTTAGAATGCTGGTGTCCATGTGGTTCTATTTGGCAAACCTCAGATGTCACCATGACCTTCAGGATCTGGGACCTCTTTCCCAGCAGTCACTCCCCAAGCATACACTGTGAATGCTGATACCCTGAGATATGCCTGAGATAAACCTAAGGAAACCTCAACGTGATCCCTAAGCTGTTTCCCAGGCACTGTTGCTGCAGTTAGCAGTAAAGGGGCAAAGGAATCAATCTTCTCGTACATTCTTTCATCTTTTTTCAGTATTAGACATTGAATCCAGAACCTCAAAGATCCCACAACTGGCCAGATACAGAGAATATACATCTGAGAGATGCCCAGTAATAGGTGACACATCTACAGTTGAACCTCTATACCAAAGGCTCATGGAACATAGCAGAACAAAGGGTAGAGAGAAATCTAGTGCATTCCTCAATTCTCACCAGTGAAGTTTCTTACAACAGAGTGTGATGCACACAGAAGGCCACAACTGGTCAAGTTTTAAAGAATAGTAGACTGAAGAATGTGTGTCCCTGGATAGGACTCCTATAAAAACCTCACCCATCCATAGCTCAAGGACCATTGCAGAAGAGGGGGGTGGAAAAGATTGTAAGAGACAGAGTGGTTCATGCACACAGGGAAGCAGAGGGTTTCAGGCCACTGGAAGCTTGTACATGTGAACTTGTGGCACTGGTGGCATGGAGCACAGGAGCCATGCTGACTCAATCAGACAAGGGCCCAGAGTGGAGTAAGGGAAATGGGTGATAGGCTAGCCCTAGAATGAGAGTTATCGGAGACTGATTACTACTGGGTGAGGGAGAGTATGCCTTACATACAATCTGTAGATGGGCTGACTAGACTCCAATGGATGAATTTGCACTGAAGAACATCTGGGTACAAATGCCTAACTGGATAGGACTTAACATGTATGGCAGAATACATGAGGTGCAGTGGGGGGTTGCAGAGGCATGGATGCCTCTTAATCTTAATTTGATTAAGAACTGTTGTATGAAATGTGCAAAAGCTCAATAAAATTTTTTAAAGATGCTAGGCAAGTACTCCACTATTTAATATCCCAGCCCTACCAATGTTCAAACACAGTTTTAAATTTTGAAAAGTAAACTTTGGGTTGCAATTATAATAGTGGAAATTCATATTACATACACAAGAAACTTAATACTTCTAACCTTCTGGCAATTCCTAATAACTGTATAAGAAACAATACTTCCAACCTTCCATAAAATTGTTGTAGGGAGCAAGACTGTACACAAGCCACATCAAAACCACACATTCCAGTGCCTATATATTTCAAACATAAAAAATAAGAATAGTATCTAATATTCATTATCATTATTTACTAACCATTCTTCTAAGATTTAGATATGTACATTAATTCACTTAATACTCTGACACTCTATAAAGGCCAGTTCCAACTGCTCAGTTCTACTGTTGTAGTCTGAAGGCAGCTATAGCTAATATGTAAATGCTTGAGTGTATCTTGTTTCAGTACAAACTTTATGAAGAACCACAGGTAGGTCACAGTTTGCCAGTCCTTGCTCTGAGACTGTCTTCTCGTTTCCATTTTACAGATGAAAAAAACGAAGCTAAACAGAATCTACTGACAACCCAGGGTTCCACGAGAAGTCTGATCACCAAGTACATATAGTCACCTACTATATACTAGCAGCTGATAATATCCTCATCATTAGTAGAAACAGCCTGTCTAAAACAGGGTCATCTACCTAAAGGGAAGATAGATATTCAATCAACAGTGACCCTTAGGCCTGTCCCAGAGACTGAAGACCAATTCAGATCCTCCCTCTATCCATCCAGCCTTATTCCAGGTAGTTCTCTCAGTCTCTTCAGAGTCAATACACCCTTATTCTCTATTTAGTATTCACTTTCTCCCAACTCCTCTGGAAGCCAGAATTACCCTAACATAGGGCTCAATCTGCATATGTTGATGCAACTGTGACTGTTGGTACAGAGTTTATAGGCTAAGACCCTCAAGGCCTGGGGCAGAAGAGGAAGATGAGAAGCCCAGACACTCACCAATCCATGGCAGGCACTGAGGGCTGCTGTCCCAATTGTAGTGCCCTGCTGTAGAACTGTGCCCCTGAGATGGCAGGGTGGGCCCGAGGAGGCCACCATCTTAACATGAGACAGGTTCCCGTATCTTCTCTCCACGATATAGCTATTGAAAAGAAATCCCCAGTTGACCGTCAGGTTAAAAATCAGATCTTTCTCTTCATGTGAAATTCTGTAGTATACCGGGTCATCTGAGCCACCTACAGCTCTCTTCCTCCTGCTGCTGGCAACAGTATGACGCAGGCCATAGGACAGAAAATGCCCACTGGCATCTACTCGGACTGGCCCCACCACGTGGTATTCTGGAAGGGTCTTGATAAAATGATCTGAAAGAAAAGAAAACAAAATTAAACTCAGAAACCCAGGCTGAGTGTGTAGCAAGCCAAACTCCCGTTTAGAACTGAGATTCTAGTTTGCAAAACCATATTGACTTCAAGCTTAGAGAATGTTTCCACCACACAAATTCCCCATCACCATGAAATTCCCTTAGCAACTAATATGTATACGGCGCTCCATTCTCCTAATGTCCCCAGCCAACGGAAGTTGTATCTCTTCCCTGTGAACCCCCTCCTGTCCTTTCTGTACATTCCAGAATGGTTTCATTTTATACTGTCTTTTCTTTAAGTATAATCCTGATACTTTTAGAAGCAGAATCCTAACACCACAGGTTATAGATCATGTACTGATAAATTAGTAAATATGTACATTGAAAGAACTGGATTTGATGGTGGACACTTACAAAAGGAGCTTTTTCCGTACAAACAATTACCTTAAAATCTAATTGTTAGAGCCATTCTTCTCTGCCTTGGATGTAATATGGGGCAGTGCTCAGAGAGTCTACTTTCAGGAACTAAAAAAATAGTCTTTTTTTTCATGTGGTCAACTTCGTTAGTAATTAGGGAAATGCAAATGAAAACCACTTTAAGATTTCATCTTACCCCAGTCAGACTGGCTATGATCACGAGAACAAATGCAAGAAAGGATGTGGGGAAAGTAGAACTCTCATCCAGTGCTGGTGAGATTGCAAACTCATGCAACCCCTAGTAGAAAGCAGTGTGGAGAACTCTTAAAACACTAAAAATTAACCTACCATTTGACCTAGTTATACCACTCCTTGGCATATACCCAAAGGACTCATCCTATTGCAGAGAGACTTGTACATCCATGTTTGTTGCTGCTCTTTTCACAATAGCTAAGAGATGGAAGCAGCCTAAGTGTCCCTCAATTGATGAGTAGATAATGAAACTCTAGTAAATTTACAGTATGGAGTTCTACTCAGAGGTAAAGAAGGAGGACAAAATCATGACATTTTGAGGTAAATGGTTGGAATCAGAAATTGTTATACTAAATGAAGTATCACAGACTCAGAAAAACAAATGACATATGTTCTCCCTCCTATGTGAATCCTAGCACCAAATCCTTATAAGTGAGTATGTATCCAACATAACTACAGGAACCACGATAATGAAAAGGAACCAGAGAGGTAAAGGGAAAGAAATAACCTGAGAGAGAAGAGCAGAAGATAGGCATTACTAAGGGAGAAATGGATAAAAATGAGACCGCTTAAATGGGAGAGGGAGGGAGGGTTATACAAGGAACCTTGGAGATAAAGCAAAAGAAGGAGCTCAAGAGAGGTGATAAAAGACTGCTATTATCAAGGGAGAAATAAGGAAAATGAGGATACTTTAAATGGGGAAACCATGGTGGGAGCGTTAGACAGGGAGACAGAAAGGACAGATAAATAATGCCTAGCTAATTTTAAAAAGCCAGAGAAAATCATACCTAATGACAAATTACACATATAATACCTCTGCATGAGACCATATAGCTAAAGGCTACATAACAAGAAACAGTGCCAGACAGGAGGCACCTCCTTTGAGTTGTTGGCCAGGGGGATCCAAGAGACTCCCAAAATTACACAGGCTATTGCCACATCCCTACTGCTGAATACAGAACATAATTCGGACACAGGAATTGGAGCAATAGAGCTGAAACTGACCTGAAGCCACTTCCCCTGAAGGCTAGCTCTCATAGTTTTGGAGAGCACTATGAAAGTGCAAAGGGAAAAAATATCACTCGGTGGTCCAACAACAGTTTCAAGACCAAATAACCGGCACAATGGCCGGCACAGCATATATCATTGGTGCAGTAGTGGCACTTTTATCTTGGCGGCAATCAACAGCTACCTAATTGGACTAAAAACCCACTCAGTGGGAGGAAACTCAAGTTTGGTTCTGTAAACATAACCAAATACACATGCCTGGAGTGGTCATAGATCTTAGAAAAAAACCCAAGACTCTCACATCCCTAGACTACTGTTATTTCTTATTATGTACAAATTATGTAACCTTATACTTACAGACAAATATCCCAGTCACCATTCACCAAAGAAGCTTATTTTGTACCAGTCAGAGACTATTACCAAGTACCACAACTGGTTACACACAGACATTGTCTATGAATTGCCCAGGCCTAAGTGACACATCTACAATGCAACCTCTACACCTAAGGCTCACAGAACATATAACAGGGGCAAAGATGAGGACTCTAATGAATCTCTCAGTTCTCATTAATGAAGCTCCCTCATGGCACAGAGGGCCAGGAATACAAAAGGACACAAATGTCAAAGCATAGAGATTAAGAGTCTACAGAATGCTGGTCCTTGGACAGGACTTCTATATTAAACATCACCCACTCAGAAGATGGGGCAGAAAGATTGTAAGAGCCAGGGACGAGGTACACAACTATATGGAAACAGTCCTACAAGCTCTGGGGAAACTACTCATGTGATTCTATGGCAATGGTGTCAGCAAACATACATCCCGTGTCTGCCTGCAGACAAAAAATGAACTGCAGACTCCAATCTTAGCTGAAGAAATACTGGCAACTGATTACTGCTAAGTGAAGAGCTGATCTTCCCAAAACAAGAGAGTCTAGATAGGCTGACTAGACCTCAGTGGATGGACTTGTACTGGGGTATTTCTGGGGACACTGACTTGATACAGTGTACCTTAGCATGGATGACAGGGTATATGGATTCCAGTGGGGGGGATATGTGAGGGTGCCCGTGGGGATGGGGGTATAAAGATGACTAAGATTGTTTGAAATGTCCTGTATGAAATACACAAAAATTCAATAAAAACAAATTTGGAAAAATTTTCTTTTTTCAATACATATTTTATTGAATTTTTGTGTATTTCATACAACACAACTTTATCATATTTAGAACCCCTCCCTTATCTGCACCTTCCCATAGCCTCCCCCAACTGGATTTCATGCATTCTGTCATATATGTTACAGTCTATCAAGTCAGGTTTGTGTCCTCAGATGCCCCGTGAGTTCATCCATTGGAGCGTGGTCAGTCTATCTAGAATCTCTCCCCTGAAGAAAATCAACTCTCCCTCACCCAGCAGTGATCAGCCACCAATAGTTCCTCAACAACTAAAAAAGAGTCTTAATGTTTAAGTATTAAATGTCCAGATATAGTCTTACTGCCACATTCAAACACAAATCACATAGGGAAAAATCTCATAAAAATAATAAAATAAGAAACAAGAAAATTCTACACAGAGTTACTTATATTATTGGAAAATCTCTCTCTCTCTCTCTCTCTCTCTCTCAACTCTCTCTCTCTCACACACACACACACACACACACACACACAAAGCTTTCCAGAACACATGCAAACAAAAACTACATATGGAACACATTAGTATGGTTTTCCGTGGAGTGGAATGAGAGTGGAGAGTAAGAAGAAAAATGCATTAATAACTAAAACAAAAGTTTTGCACAAATTAATGGTGGCAATGTTCTATGAACTCAGGTGCATAGGTGACTTGCCCCCCACTCACATGCACAGTTTACTTCCCATTCACTCCTCCAGAAATGCATGGGCTGATCCAGTACTGGCTCTTCCCCACCCTTCCAAAATAAGACTTAAGTAAAGAGAGGAATGGCCAGCTGGGTGGGGAGATCATAGTGAGCTTCTGTAGAATTCGCTCTGATTGTGCTTAGCTACTGTTACACTAACAAGGGCTGCAACACTGGAGGCTTGTTATGGGCAGAGAAAGTTCTTACATATTTGGGTGTAGCCGTCATCTGGCAATGATGCCTAGATGTGGTCACTGAACAAATGCTGGCATTTCTCCTAAAAGAAGCGCTCGGGAGGAGGGGGCTGAGGAGACAGCTCAGTCGGTAAAATGCTTGCCTTGCAAGCACCATAACCTGAGTTCAACCCTCAGAATCCATGCAAAACTGCCAAGAGTAGTGGTGCCCACTTAAAACTCCAGCACTGGGGACAAGAAGACCAGAAGATTCTTTGGGTCCATTAGGAAAGTCTAATCGGTGAGCTCTGGACCAATAAAAATTCTGTTTCAAAGGATGTAAATGGTGTTCCTGAGGATACACACACACACACACACACACACACACACACACACCAAAATAAATGTGCAAAACTTAAAAAAAAGAAAAGAGAAAGAGAAGCCAGCAGAGCCTGAAGACTGTCAGTGGCAATTTCCTGGGTCCTCCAATGTGGGCAATTCCTCCAACCAGCCATGTGCAGCCTTTCCAGCTTCTAATCTTGGAATAAGGCTACCTCACTCCGCCTATCTTATGGGGACATCTTCAGTATCATTTTGAAGATGATCCAGGTTGCCTTCCATAGCACCCAAATCAGGCTCTGAGGAAATAACTCTGAAACCTATGGTGTCCCTCAGTGTCAATAAGTCACAGCCTTCCCAGCAAGTTCGTGGTCTTTGTTGGGTCTGTCACGAACTGTGATTCACACGAGTTCTTTGCCTATTGACTCAAATTCTATTCTATTCTTTTTGTGTGTGTGAAATAACTCCACTTTTAGCACATTGCTTATGCTCCATAAATGCTAGCTCCATTTGAGTCTTCAGTTTATACCTGTTCTTTCACAGGAAAAACTCAATTTATGTATTTCAAACAATAGTGTTTTATTTATTTATTTTTTATTTAGGGGTCAGCTGTGCACAGTTGGAAGCTGACTTTTTA